AATATATTAATATATTATTATTAATTTATTTAGTTACTACATCAACATATTGTAAATATAATAAATATGAGATTTCTCTTTTCCTCCCATATATATGTATAGACTACAGCTGACGCAATGTATATATTTTTATAGCAAACAGATACAATATAATAATACTTAATACATTAACATATTATTGTTATAACATAATTATTATTATAATTACGTAAATAAATTCGCTGTAACTTGTAACGAATTGTTTTCCGAAAAAAATTATAAGTTATAAGAAGGTATACCTATATCTAATACAATGTACAAGCCTGAAACTATACATTTATAATTTAAATTCTAATATTTTATAAATACATTATCATAAAATCATATTATACAATATACCTACTATAGTTACTACACTTATAATTTATTAATACATATTATAGTTGATTGTTAAGCTCTGATGCCGAGTTTAACATTTTTAAAATGTTATTATGTAAATTAAATTAGAAGGATTATATAATTTTAAAATAACAGTATTTAAATTAAAATTTAATGTAATACATATTATATTAAAGTGGTCGCAACTAATAATAAATCCTTTAATACACCATGAAGTATTTTCATGTTAATTAAAAATATTACATATAGATGAGGGTGGATCCCTCCAATCTTTGTGTGCAATCATTGACGTGCCAAACCATTGTATTCAGTTATATATACCATCACTAAATAGTGGGGATTCAAAAGTCACTAATTTAACAATGTCCCCTACATTTTTCAAATTTGATTTTTATTCTAATAATTTTGATTTCATAACTACATTACCCGATATATGATGAGATGGTATAAATAACATAATATATATTTATAATAATATTATATGCGTGCGATAAAAATCATTTAACTTGTTTTTTACTTCACCCATATATCATTTTTATGGCTTTGAATAGATTAACGAAAATTATAAATTTTAGTTCGTTAGCATTTGCCACAGTTCACTCATAAATCTAATCGAATGTATAAATATCATATAAATATCATATAAATCTACTATATGATAGGCAACAAATTAAAAACTAGTAAAAAACCTCCAAAATATAGACGATTGTATATGCAAGTCATACCCATATCCCAATCATAAATGGTTAAAATATTTTTTTTACGACCTATAATATAGAATATTATACAACACTGGCATTGTATATGAGGCGTYATTGGTACCTACCTATAGCTTATACCTATATTATACGTAATAATTATCTAGGGTTAGGTCTATAATTAAAAATTAATTTAATATTCCATAGATCACATATAATATATGTACATTTACCATTATATGCAATATAAGATACCTAACTATATATAGATATTCAATCCTACAAAATATA